GTAACATGCGCCCTCCCTCGCATGACAAGAAATCCCAGGCAGTGCAAGTGGTGCGATTAGGGGGACTACCGTTGGGAATGTCCGAGCTGCAAAAAAAACTACGGCCAGAACAAGCCTGGACATGTACTGACACCTGGCAAATGCAAGTTTGCCGAATCTTGGAAGCTGCCTGACAATCATGGACAGGTGCCACCGGCTCCTGCCGAACCAGCAGCAGGACAAGTGCCGCCGGCTCCTGCTGAACCAGCAGCACCGCCACCCGAGGCGCATGCCGCACCACCACTTACGCGGCTACGAGCACCAAGACCCGGCTCTAGAGCCGGACCCACAGCGGGTGCCAGCAGCCACGAAATTACAGTAGGCAGACGTGATGCTGAACCTGCTGCAGGGCAACCTGCCTCGAGTGGAGCTGGGAGTTCGGATGATCACCTCCGACTGCCACAGGTTAGAGTCAGACGTGGCCGACAGCCAGGTGGAGATGGACCTCCCCCGCCACCAGCGGGTAACCCTGCTGCGCGACCACGACTTCCAGACTGGTCACGGTTCGACGTACAAGCCAGTCTACAAAATTTACGTAGCCTTGACCCAAGCGTGGTAACACGCGATCTGCGGAAGCTAGTCTTGCGTTGGTTCCATGCGAAAGAACATAAGATGATATTCATCTTAACCAAGAGAGGTCTGGACAACGTCAGACTCAACCTGATCAAGGGTGTGTGCGACACATGTCGGGAGTGCAGGGCTTGGGACAAGCCAGGGCATGCGATTCTGCCATCTACTGCGCTGCCTGGCAAATTCAACGAAGAAGTGGAATGTGACAGGATGTTCTACAAACAAGAACACAATATATTTCGTATGATCGCTCGTTGTATTCGATCTGCTACTGGAATGGAGATATCAGACAAGACGATGACCAGTACCTTGGATGCATACCATCAGTGCTGGATGCAGTTTGGACTTGCGAAGGTACTCCGACGGAGAGGGTGCCCTCAACAACGACGCTGCGAAGGCAGTCCTGAAGGCAAAGGGCACAGAACTAAGGATACGTGCGCGTGGACAACACGCTACGACGATCGAAGCCAGAAATGGCATATTGTGCCATTTACTTCATGACATGGAAGCTGAACTCAACAGGTTAGACATACCTCTTGTGTTCACACGTCTACTGCATGAGGCCTTGTTTGCCGCCAGCGCGCCCACCTTCTATAGCGAGGTGTCTCCATGCAACGACCTGTTTGGGCGGCGGCCAGCAATGCTCCCCGACTTGCCTGTCCTGGATCACGAACAACCGACGGAAACGTCGGATCATTCTCGTGGACAGATGATACGCAAGGTATGCATTGAAGCTCTCACTCAGGCCACAGCAGCAGCCAAGACCAATCGTGCATTACGCACCAAGACAACTGTTACCGGCCAGCATTACTACGATGAAGGAGATTTAGTTGATTACCATCGCCCCACAAACACGAAGGACGACTGGGGAGGCTGGAATGGGCCATTCCCAGTTGTGAGGAACGATCCCGAAAGGGGTCAAGGCGTCATTCGAGTGGGGAACCGCGATATTCAGGTACAGTGCGGCGATGCACGACATTCACTTTATATTGAAGCTTTAATAGCCAGAGGAATTGGCTCCGACCACACTGCGCTACGGACAGTGTTGACGTTCGTGGCCAGTTTACCTGCGGGGAGACCTGCTGTGACATTTGGCTATGTACTGACAAAGGGGACGCTTCAGATGACAAGTGCAAGCCGTGTATCTCCTGAGGTACATCTAGCTTGACAATACCTCATCACAAACTTCTTCCGCATCGAGAACGTAGTTTCGGTCAGGTTAGCTAAGAGTACCCATGAGCTACCTCCGGTTGCTTACGCTGACAGTTGCACGCTGGTTCACTATGACAACGATTTGAATCCATGATTTCATTATTATGAAACAGAATGCACCTTTCTGAACATTCACGATTTAACTGGATCAGCACATCCTAGAATTATCAAGTGTCTGAAGTCCACCAAACCTCAAGCAGGCTTTGACCAGGACGTGATCAGGTTTGAGGAGTTGGCGGATGCACCGACAACGGATGGAACTGCGAGAGAAGCCTCAGAAGCCGAACCACCACAGGAGGATGGACGGCTTCCTACGATTTATGAGGAATCGGAGGCTGATTTCGATTCGTACGTCAAGGAAGTGTAGTATGCAGAACTACAAGATGAAAAGGAACTGCTGGAGGCAACTCCACTAGGGGATCTTTTCACGATGCCCGCGCAGATGGTTCCAGGCCATGGTGTGCTGATCACTGTTGCTGAAGAGCAGCGGGGGCACCTGCCCAAGTGGGGGCGCCCATGCGACTCCGACACCGAGGAGACGTATCATGTCCCATTGTGCTCCATGGTCGAAGAGCGCAGTTACGGACTGGACACAGACGAAAAATGACAATTTGTAGAACTCCGCTTTACGGCAGAAGTGTCAAAGGTAGTCCTGTCCGAACAACAACGCATGATATTAGATGCCCGCCGTGTGACCACTATGCGAATATACGTTACCGCCGCTGCAGAGCGAGCTGTGGTCGTCAAGGAAGATGACCCCTTGCGAAGGCTGACATCCAGGCGAACCCCGAGAAAGTATCGAAGGCCCTGTACGCCGAACTCAAGGCATGGTTTGACAACGGGTGTTTCAAACTGCAAGACATACCTAAAGCGTCAAAACTCATGTCTCCGAGGTATGTGTGCACATTGAAATTTGTAAAGAACGAGAAGGGCGAGATGGAATGTGCCATCAGATTGCGCCTGGAGCTTCGAGGCTTCATGGACCTTGAAGCCTTCGACGTGGAAGCCTTTTTGTGAACAGCGCGGCGGTCAAGCCAGAGACTACTCGCGAGCACGGCAGCGTGCAAGAAGCAGTGGGTCATTGCTTCTCTCGACATCAACATGGCCTTCCTGGAAGGGTTGACCTACCAGGGACTTGCTGAAACAACTGGTGAAAAGGACCGTGTGGTGTGTTTGACATTGCCGCCTGGATCGGCCACGGTGCTCTGGGCTCTCCCAGGATTCGAACACTACGACGAGTCAAAGCATTGCTTGCAGTGCCTCAGGCACTGGCACCAAAGACGCACCCCGAGCTCTCCCAATAACGCTCAGAAGGACCACTAGAGGGTTTGGTCTCCGACCCACGTCCTACGACGAGGAGTTCGAGACGAGCAGCAACCTGCTTATGACCAAACATGTTGATGATATCAATATGGCCAGTACTGAGGACACCATTGACAAGTATGTCAAGTGCGTAGATGACACCTTTGATAAGTGAAAACTCAACAAGCACACATGCACCAACTGTGCTGTGAGGTATACCAAGGATGATGACGGCAATGTTACTTTGGACCAAGACGAAAACATCAAGCAGCTCCGTCCTATACAACACCCTGAACTTGCCGGCGCCGGGGCTGACGCTCAGGCATCCAAGATGGTTGCAGACGCGTTCGTCGGCCGCAGAGGCGCGCTGGCGTATGCATAAATCACCCAGGTGTGGTTTATGGTGTATGTTGTATCTCTACAACGTGTCCAAGAACCGACCAATATACAAGTACGACGACTGAGCGCGATCACCAGGAAACTGCAGGTCTGTCCCAAGAAGATCGCCTATCAGGCGATGACCCCTACGGGCGAGGTCGACCTGCACAGCGACTCAGGTTACCGACGCCTGAGTGGAGACGCCGATGGCGATGTCAAAGGCTATGGTATTCGCGGGGCAAACCTGCTACGGCGTGGAAGCGCGCCATCTGGTAAGCCCGCCGTCCACTTGATCGATGCGTACTGCATGTCTCACCGCTTGCAAGTCCGCTCGAGCTATTCAGCAGAGACACTAGCAGCTGCTCATACGATGGAGGACTGTTACCCCACGATCGTGACTCTGCGCGAGCTCCACGCAGGGCCGCTCGCTCCCACTCAGTTGAAAGACATACTTGAGTTGGGTGGCCTGATCATCAAGGTCACTTTGGCCAGAGATGCTGAGTCTGTTTTGAAGTCCTTGTCAAGCGAAGACTTGAAAAAGCGGACTGGGTGTACCCTTTTCGGACACATCAGTTGGATACGACAGATGATGGAGCGCGGCATCGTGCACAGTGTTCAGTGGTGCGACACCCGTGATATAACTGCGGACGGTCACACCAAGGGGGGCATCGACAGAGAGATGCTCCTACAGGTCATGGAGTGGACACGATCCTTCAATCATAACCTAAAGGGTCACACTCCGTATCGGGCTGGTCAGACATCCTGTTCTGTGGCTGCCTGAGGAGTATCCTTATGTACAGAATAGTACATGCAAGGCAACATGCGTGCGGGTCCACCTTCCTTACGGCCCCGCCCTTTTGCTGCCCTTTTGTAGATAGTAGCTGCTGTGCTTGATGTATAGGGGCGGCGGACTCACGCTTCGTCTCCCCCCCCCCGACTCGAACGTGAGCTGGGGACAGGGAGCGGAAGCGAACGTGTGCCCGCGGCCGCGTGGCTCAAACGGCTGGCCGCCCAGATCTGATTACACCTCATCGCGAGGTGTACTATTTGCCATCGATGCCAACATATTGCTTGAGATGGCTCGCCCCCTGCTTCTGGGACTATCGTTGCTACGGTACAACAGAGGGGGAGCTGGGCTTCGCATAAGGGGGTTGGGTCTCCCAACCCCGTTCAAACTTGTTGAAGGTCCTCGTGTGGCCATGTGGGCCCTCTTGGAGGCATCTTAGGCAGTCTTGAACCAATATCCGGCCGCCTTGTGACCATCTTGGGACGTCTTCGAGGAATCTAGGGCCATCTTGATGTCCTCGGTTGCCTGCGCGGGCACAGGAGCGAAGGCTTGTAAGGACGTGTGAGGGTGGACTTGTGACGGGAGGGTGCGTTTGCAGCATCGTTGATTCATCTTTGGATTATTATGATTTTCCTGTTCCTTGTTTTCCGCCCCCTCCTCCGCCCTCTCTTCCCCTCCCCCGTCGCACGGTACCCACCCCTGCTACAGGAAGTCCTCCCAGAAGAGCGCGCCCAGCGATGTCTGCCTGGAACAGAAGCTGCAGCAGCCAGCAGGGGGGCAAATCCGCCGCCGCCGTCGTCGTCGTCGTCGTCGTCGCCGTCGTCGTCGTCGTCGACGTCGAGGATCGAAGATCGATTGTCTTCGACGTTTTTGGCAATGTTTGGACCCCTGATGGCTTGGGGGACCTCTGGAGAGCTCCAGGGGCCGTCGAGGGTCGTCGTCGTTGTCGTCGTCGTCGTCGTCGTCGTCGTCGTCCATCTCCACCTTCTCAGCTCTTCCCTTCTTTTCTCTTTACCCCTCCTCCATCCTTCTCCCTCGTCTCTCCTCCGTCCTATCTATTCCCTCCTCCATTTCGTTCTTGATGCTCTCCCTGCTCCTTCCTCCTCCTGCTGCTCCTCCACCCACCGTGCTGCTGCTGCCTCCTACTTTCGCTTATACTCCCTCCTGCTTCCCCCTCTTCCGCCCTCCTCCCTCCTCCTGCCCGCTCCCTCGCCCACCCTTCCTCCTCCTCCTTCCGTCCTCTCTCCGTCCTCCCTCCCTTCCTCCTCGTCCTCTCGAGCCAGGCCTAACTCCCCGCCGCTCACAGCGACCAAGACGGCCGAGGAGACGCTCCGCAACGCGAAGAATGAGTTCTCGTCGTACCTGACGTCCGTGAAAAGGTCACCCGACGACGACTTTGACAGGGCTAGCGATGATGGCGGCTACAATCTGTACTCGCACTGGTTGTACAAGACGTGGGTGTGGCTGCTGAGCGTCCAGGAGCCATGGCGTGCTGAATTGGGAGGAAGGGCAGCAACATAAGGATGAACATAACGTAAAGATGGGTAGGAAGCTTATGGTTTCGATGCCGTTGCAGTTGATGTTGACGTTGCTGATGACGATGGCGATCATGCTGTTGACTTGAATATACATGTGATGATGCATCTGACGATGCTGGTCACTGATGATGGTGATCTTGATGCTGCCTGTGATGCAGTTGACGGCGCAAATGCTGCGTGTGATGATGATGCTGCTAGTGCTGCTGCTGCTGCTGCTGATGATGATGATGATGATGATGATGATGATGATGATGATGGTGGTGTTTGTGGTGGTGGTGATGGTGATTGTGTTGGTAGTGGTGGTGATGATGGTGATGACGGTGATGATGGTGATGATGGGGATGATAGTGATGATGACGGTGATTATGCTGCTGCTGATGATGACGATGGTGGTGATGGTGATGATGATTACGACGATGACGACGACGACGACGACGACGACGATGATGATGATGATGATGATGATGATGATGATGATGATGAGGATGCTGATGATTATGATGATGATGACGATGATGATGCTGCTGCTGCTGATGATGATGATGATGATGATGCTTCTGCTGTTGCTGCTGCTGATGAGGATTATGACCATGCTGCTGTTGCTGTTGTTGATGGTGATGATGGTGATGATGATGGTGATGAGGCGGATGGGGCGGGAGGACGAGAAAGATCATGCGGATACGCGGTAATCTAATCGTAAGGAGGAGACAGACGAGGATCATCTGGAGGAGGGTGTGAAGGAAGCGGAGGAGAAGGATATGGATGTCAAGCGTGAAGGAGCCAGAGCGGACTGGTTTGCTCGCTCGATTTGTAGAAGGCAGCGTTTTCGAGACTATTGTCTGCATCGTCATATTTGTGAACTGTGCGTTCATGGCGTACGCTGCTGATGACGAGATGGTGAACAACGGCACAGTCAGCCCCTCAGTAGAAATTGGCGAGTGGGCCTTTCAGATATTCTACTCTGTGGAATTAGCTCTCAAGCTGAACGTCTACAGGCAGTTTTTCTTCTGGAGGGAGGGCTGGAGGCTCAATCTGTTTGACCTCGTTTTGGTGATTTCGGGCTTCGTCTCATTGCTCGGCGATTCTTATTTCACTGGCTTCTGGAGAGTATCCAGATGCCTCGGGCAACCCCCCTTCCATGTCAGTGCAGTATCGAAACGTCTTCGGGATGGCTCTACCAAGCTCTTCCAAACGGCTTGCTGTAGCGGGGCCTGGCCGTGACGCTGCTTTATTGTTGCGCGTGCTCTTGGGGATCTCTTGGAGGCCTCTTCGAGGCTTCTTGGGGGTCTTCTTGTGGCATTGTGGGGGCCTCTCGGGCGCCTTCTTGGGGCATCTTGGGGGCCTCTTGGGGCCCGCTCGAGGCACTTTTGGGTCGCGTTTGGGGGCCTGCTTGGGGTCTTGGGGCCGCCGTGCGCACTCGACGGTATTACCGCGCTCTCCCGAAGAGACTCGGCTAACCCATTCAGAGGCCGCTAGGGCGGGTCTTTGGGCCGTCTTTGGGCCCTCTGTGGGGCGGTCGTGTGCCGTCTGGGGGGGGGTTCTCGGACCGTCGCGGGGCCGTCCTGGGTCTGTCTGAGTGGCATGCTGCGGCCCCTCTGGGGCCTTCCTGGAGCTCGCAGGGACCATCCTGAGGCCACCTTGGGCAGAGAAGCACAGGAAGCCAAAGATGCTGAAGCGACATTGGGTTGTTCCATGATTCCGGTCCCCAGACTGTTCCCGGAGAGCTCCTCGGGCGCCAACCGCAAGGCGTTTTTTGGGTCTGCTGGGGGCATCTGATCCTCTGTGAGGCTGCTGGGCCGTCCTGAGCCTGTCTTGGGGGCATCCTGCGGCTGTCTCGGGGGTGGCCTCGGGGCTCCAGGTGCCGAGAGGAGCGCCAGAGACCGAAACGTGGTGGGGCAGTCCCGTCACCTGGGGCTGTGGGGAGGGTGGTGGTGGTTCAGATTGGGCCAGATTCACAAGCGTTCCAGCAACGGCCTCGCCTTCGAGGGTCAAAGGACTTGGCATCTCCTCCTCGGCGGAGGGCTGGCGGAAGGCTGGCGGAAGGCGGTGGAAGTAGAACGAGGCCGCCGCCGCTGGCGGAAGCCGGCGGAAGGCGGAAGGCCTGCGGAAGCAGGCGGCAGTGTTTATTATGTTGGTTCAGGGTTTCCAGGGCTTGCCGAATGGAGGCTGGGTTGGCTCAGGTCTGCAGTCTGCAGCTCCAGGCCAGGCTGGCCCAGTCTCACACCTGGTGGCCGGATGGGCCCAGGCTCGCAGGTCGATGCGCGCCGGGGGGGGGGTCGCCCTCGGAGAGCTGCAGAGGCCCTCCCGGCCAGCGCGCCCTCCGCGTGCCGAGGGTGCGGTCGGCGGATTTCGGCTCCTGAAGTTCGGGAAGTCGATCCGCGCCATCAAGATCATGGCAAAGCTCGAGAAGCTGCGAGCGTTTCTGGTCTGTCTGCACGGGTCCTTCGCCAGCTTCTTCTGGAGCCTGGTGATGCTCACGACGGTGTACGTCCTGTTCGGGCTCTTCCTGATGCAGGTCATCACGTCACACGTGAAGCACACGGGCGGGGATCATGCGGACTACGACGGCCTGTTCGGCACGGTCTTCGAGTCGACTTTGACTCTCTACATGGCGTCCACAGGGGGCGAGGACTGGTCCCTCGCATACCGAGTGATCGAGGAGACCGGCGCGACGGGGACTATGATTTACTTGATTTTTGTACAGGTGCTTGCGGCAAGTTCCCGCACCGTGCCAGCGCAGCATTACGTGCGCCTCTCTTCGGATCCACGTGCGCCGTACCATGTGACAGCTCATGCCAGGAGGAGTGGAGTAGAAGGTGACTTCTTTGGCAATTTTGGGGCCGTCTTGGGTCACTCTCTTGCGTTCCAGATGCTATCTTGAGCCGAGAAAGGTGGGAGGCAGAAGGCATTGAGAACTCAACGGCTGTTGCATTGACTTGCTTTCTAGCCGCCCGCTCTGCGTTTCATGGGGAGTTTCTGTATGTAGAAGAAGGAGCGTGGAGCGTACGCTCGTGGGCGAGAGGTCAATGAGCGGGAAGCGGTGGTGCGGCGGGTGCGGATGAGGATCCGGAGGGCGGGGCTCGCGAGGTGGAGGATAAGGAAAGTGAGGGTCACACGAGTGAGGATCAGGCGAGCGTGGGCCAGGAAGGATGAGGATCAGGAGACCGAGGATGAGGAGAATGAGAATCAGCAGGGTGAGGATCGGGGGAGTGTGGTGCAGGAAAGCGAGGATCAGCAGAGTGAGGATCGGCAGAGTGAGTCTCACGAGGAGAGCGAGATCAGGATAATGGTAATGAGCATGGATGGGGAGGATCAGGATCGTGAGGCAGGAGGGTGAGGGTGAGGAGAGCGAGAATCAGGAGAGTAAGGACCATGGGGGTGAGGATCAGAAGGGTGAGGGCCAGGACGGTGGTGCTCAGGAGGGTGAGGATCAGGAGGGCGGGATGAAGGCGGTCAAGACCAGGAGGGTGGGGAAGAGGACATCGAGGATCAAGACGTCAATGACAACGAGAATGTCTCGAGCGAGAGAGCGCGAGACTGGGACACGCCGGGCGCGCCCGCTGCATCCCTGGTCCCTGCAGGCGCGCTGGGCGGCCGGTGTGGCGACTTTTGCGAGGACGTCTTTGGCGAGGGCGCCGGATTGGGACACGCCGGTGCATCCCCCCGGAAATGGGCCCTGGGGATGCGCTGGGAGGCGACTTGCTCGTGCGCGGGGGTCAGGATGACGCGAGTTCCAGAGAAACTCTCTCAAATGAGTTGGTTGTCTGGGCTTTCTCGCAGGCCTTGTGTTTTCTCTTGGGGCTCATCGTGGCCTTTTGTCAGTCGTTTTCGAGGCCTCTTGAACATCTTGGTTGCCCTCCAGGCCGTCTTGGACGCCGTCTTGGACATCTTGGATTCCTTGGCGAACGCCAGGGAGGCGTCGGGCAGCTCAGATAGCCGCGGGAGGGATGGGGTGGTGGGGGCCTGGCAGAGACTTGCACAAACCCTTCCAGACAGCACTTGGCACTCTGCCACGCCTCAACTTTCCAAGTGGCACGGTAGCGGATCGCCTTCGTGCAGACTACATTACGATCCCACGGTACCGACTACACCACACGGCTTCCTTTCTACCTGTGGTCAACACCAAGACGGTTACGGCCGAGTACAAGAGCCTCTTGAAGGAATCACTTGATGCAGTGTGTGCGGCTCCCCATATTGATGGAGCCATTGACCTGGATCTCAATGACGACACAGATGTCCCGCTGGTCACGAGATGGCGCTACTGGCACGAACGAGCAGAGGCAGCACTCAACGTTGCAGTGGACAAAAAGTTGGTAGAGATTGACCGCCTACCTGAGAGGAGCAAGGGCTCCCAACCCACGCAGAGGCCAGCGGCACATGGACCTCGGTTTCGACCAGAACAAAGTATTGCACATAGGCGTCTTCTCCGTCTCCATCGTCGCTTCTCGGAGGCGCTCAGGCAGGGAACTTCAGCGATGGCTGAGGTCTCTCCACGACACTTTACGGATATTGCCAGAGCTGCCTTCGAGGGAATTGTCAATATGAAAGCAGAAGGTATTCCTTGTTATTCGGATTGTCTCCAGTGGCTTACAGCGGCCATATCAGCGGAGAATATTAAATTACAACGTGAAGCCCAGAGATCCTGGAAAGAAAAATTTGCAGCGTGGTCTACTGAGGTGTATAAGGTGGCCACGCCCATGTTCAAGCAGGCGCCCCCGGCCTCCTCTTGCCACGTCTCGCAGTTCGCCGAGGAGTGGGAAACACAGTGGAAGCCTGGGAATATTGACAAACAAGCACACCTTCGAGCCTGGCAACATCGTGCTGATCAAGTTGAGTTCCCGAAGTCGACTTTGCATGAGATGTGGCTGCCAACGAAGGAACAGTTTGATGAAGCTTTGAGAAGTTCAAAGGGTTGTGCAGGATTGGATGGGTGGTCTTTCAGAGAGATCCGTATCCTGGCGGACTTGTATCCAGAAATTATCGCAGAACTCTACACGCTGTGGTGTGATACTTCCAGGTATTGCATAGAACATGAAGGCTGTCCACCAGGTGAACTCCACGATCTGGTATTCGCCTGGCGAGTGGCAGGTATGCCCAAGGGAGAGGATGACACGAGGCCTATCAGTGTGGGCAGCGTGTTGCTACGTACTTGGCTCAGAGCATTGGCATTTGCAGCTCCTGAGCCTCCAGAAGGTCAATGGGCTAATAGAAAGCACGTGTCAGTCACTCACGCGATCAGCCAGTGGTTGCGACATTGCGAATTGAGTTCAGACGGATGCGAATTAGATCTCAGCCGCGCTTATGATAATATTCTTCATGAAATTGCGAGTGCTGCAATGGAGCGCTCACGTTACCCCCTGGCAGTACGATATGTATGCAAATCGGCATGGAAAGGCCCTCGTTGGTGCAGCCTCAGCGGAGAACTGGCAGAGAGGGCAATATACGCAGACCGAGGTTTGCCACAAGGAGACAGCACAGCACCTGGGACCATGATCAGTACCCTTGTTCCTTGGATCACGTCTGGCCCCTCGGGATGCTTTATGGATGACCGCTATATTGTTGGAGATAGCCCGCAGGGGCTGCTGGACGACATGGCTGAAACTTCTACGTTTGACAATGACGTGGGTTTCAAAGCGAACAACAAGAAAACGCAGATATGGTCCACCATGGACGCAGAGCCTCAGCAGATTGAACACCTCGGTCTCCTCGCTTGTCCCACCGACGCGACATGGGCCATTATGCCAAAAGACAACTGGGCCAAACTTCACACTGGGATTTCTATTCTTCAGTCTGTTCCTGGATCTTGCATGGTGAGATTGCGGCTGGCCTATACATACCTAAGACCTCTGTGGACGTGGGGAGCCCCTATCGTGACACCCCCACCGACTGCGACGGCAAAGCTTTTGGCGAGAGCAGTGTGGCGCACCCAGAACACATGGTGGTGCCTGGGCAGATGGTGGTGTCAGAACATCATGCTCCACCCTGTCTATTCTTGCAGCCTCTTCGCCTTCAGACGTTTACATGATGAAAAGTTGATTTGGTCATCTTTCCTGGAGAACTCGATCCAAGTCCATGCTCAAACGTTGGGATTGGAGTATATACGATTTTCAGAAGAACGTGGTGTATTACTGGAAGTCTCGTCGATGGACGACTTCAGAGTATTGCAGATCGTGGAAGGTTTGGCGGATGCTCAACTCAGATTTTGGACGCACTCCAAGAGGGCACAACATGTCCTCCGAGTCATTGCCAGGATCAGGTGCCTTCAGATTGTTGAGCCCCGCAGAAAAGACGCTGAGGAAGTTGAATCAGTTGACGTCGACGCCTGCAGCAACAAGATTTTTACAAAATGGTTTCATTCATTGAGTATTGCCGAGAAGTTTAGCCTCTCTGTGTATCGCTCGGGAGCAGCTTCATCGGAGACACGTCGACAGACGGGGCTACCATGCCCACACTGCGGCCATCTTTGGCCATCCATCCGACATCAGGTCGTGGAGTGCCCGCACTGGGACGGGCTTCGAGCTGATCTTTCTTCAATGTATATCTTGCCGCCCACGTTCTGGACCAGCCTCCCGCGGGTCTCAGCCAAGAGTGGGTGGATAACGTATGCGGCAGACCCTGCATCAAATGTCAGAAGGGCTACCATGCTGAGGGCCGTCTGTGAGATGGGCATCGGCATCATCGGTGGTGGACTGGAAGGACGACTTCATGACCCTGCACCGCCTCCTGTGCGGCGCAGAGTTCGTGTTGCTGCGTGACCCCCACGTGTGGATCTACCCCATGGTCAGGGTATTCCACGTCATCTTCTATACTCTCAGACCAAGCAGTTTCTGAACTTGCAGATCAATGTCCCGACACTCACAGAGAGTCCAAAAGGCAGCGGCGTGGACCGGCCCAGCGGCGTCAGGACGCAAGTCCTGAGGAAGCCCCGAATGCGTGGGAACACCTCAGGCAGCGTCGCCACGTTTTGCAAGCCTGGGGAAGCCCCGAATGCGAGGGAACACCCCAGGCACGGGCCGCCACGTCGACACCTTCGGGGACAACGACGGGACCGACGACGACACCAGCACCGTTGCGGAGATCATCTACTCAGAGTCCGAGATCCTCCAAACGCTTGAAGACTTCAACACGTATAGAAGATGAAGTAGAATACCCTGACCATGGGGTAGATCCACACGTGGGCCCCGCCCACACCGAACATGCCGTGGATCACGTCGACGAGACTGAGCCCCAGGGCTCAGAGAATGACCAGGGCGAGGACCTCGATCGCCTGCAGGTAGCCACGATCAATGTCACCAGTATCTCAAAGGCCAGATTGTCAGAGATCCTGGACAATGTCGCAGACGACGTCGGCGTATTATGTCTCCAGGAGATACGACTCCCTGACATGAGGCCGAGGTGGCTGATCAACTTCTGTGCTCGACGAGGGTGGGGCGCAGCATGCTCGAAGCCCCCTCCTCCTGGGGCGAGAGTGGCAACGACACAGGGCGGCTGTGCGATCTTGTGGCGACGGGCCATGGGAAAGATCAGCGTCATCAGAGACGACAAGCTCGACCATCGGATGGTGGGGATCAGAACTACCAAAGCGACAATCTTGAGTATGTACGGGCCACAGTGGTACGATCGATCATGGTTTTCGTCTGCTCTGGATTATGCCAAATCACTGGGCCATCTGGGCCACCCCCTCTACATCATAGGGGACCTCAATTGGAAAGCTTCATATAATACTTTATTAGACATCGGATGGCAGCTGGACGTATCGCATGACCAATCTACTCAGGTGACCACGGCGATCGGTGCGGCTCCGACAAGGGCGATATCTTGGGGAAACCCGCAGGATGCCCCACCAAAGTACCTAGGCGCCAAGCTCTTGCCAGGGGTGCC